CATGGAAGCCTCTTTGCATTTTCCTAGTGTGACTGAAACTCATTGCAAGAACATGACTTTTTATTTATTTATGCTGTTGTAAATAAGGACCCTCTTCACCAAAAAAATCATCTGCTTTGCACATATATTGCTTTCTCTAGGCAAATCAACAGTGTCGTAACTGGAAGGAAGCTGAATCCACATTTGAACTCTGCTTCAGAGTTCTTAGTGATATGGCTTTTGTAAGATCTTTCAGGCTTTACAGGTCCAAATGGGGAATATTGTCATTCCCCAACCTCCAGCCTTCTCCTGGTCTCCCCAGTCAAAAGTGAAAGCCACATACTACAGCTGGAAATTGGCTTGCACTGCTATAGTTCAGTGACATTCCTTCTAAATTTACACTGAGCAACAGAATACATTTTAAAGACAAGAAGTACTTGTGACCTCTTGTTTGTGCCATTTAAGAAAATGCTGGTATTGTCTGAGAACTGTACTATTGCCATCATCTAATCAATTAACAGCTGTATTTGCCAAAAAAAAAAAATGAAAGTGGCTGCCTTTGCTTGCATGCTGGCTGACGTGTCTGTCTGTACATCTCAAGTTCTCTATCTATCTATCTACCTCATCACTGAAATGCTGGCTGATGTCTTCTGCACCATTCTGCACAAACTTTCTCTTGCTTCCCAGTTTGTGCTGTGCAGCATGAAAAATTAATTAAAATGTCAGTGCAGTGTTGGTTTTCAGGTAGATCATCAATATACACAGTAGTGCTACTGTAACTCTTTTTTTCCCCTTCTTTTCCTAGTGCCGAAATCAGAAAAGAGAAGAAAGCTGACTCAGGGAAAGGTGTTGACCGGGAGACTTGTCTATGACTTGTTCTTCAACTAATATTTTTACAAATGAATGAAAGGAGTGCCACAACCACTAAATATATATGATTTACCTTGTAACTTTTGTCTTTCATCTCAAACTAGCACAGGTAATGTAGTGCAATATTTGTCTCATTTCACCTTGTCTACATGTCTGTATCATCTAGTATCTGTGTAAATGTCTGCAGTAGCCAATGCAAAAAATCTTTATGTTCTTTGCTGATACTGGCCATTTATCAGTGTTAGTACCATAAATTTAACAAGCAAATTTTCTTTCAAATTCAACTTTCTTGTTAATAGGTTTGTACTGTATTTTACTACTTTTCTGTGTGAGAATACTTAATAATCTTCATTCAAGATGAACTTGAAAACACTTGTTCCAATTTTTTTTTTTTTTTTTAAAAAAAAACCCCTAACTCAAGTAAATGATTTCAGGAAAGCCAAACTGACAAGCAAACATTAAAGAAGTTTTTAAAGTAACAACTGATCTGACCCTGTGAACAAACTAACAAGGATAATCCTTTCTTCCTCAAGCTGTCCTTCTGAAGTCATGGATTACTCTTGCGATGAGGATTGCAGGGTCAGATTCTGTATTTGTGAAGTTTTCCTTGATTTAATACAGTGTATTTAATAATTCAAATTTGTATGTAGCTGGAACATAGTCATATATGTTTAAAAATATATACTAGAATATTCTCTCACCTTAACTGAAGAACACGACCACATCCTTTGATGTGAAACATGGATACAGTATTTCTTAAAATGCAATCTGTGATTACAGTATCTTATCTTGTATTGTATGAATGTTGCCATGGTTGGCCAAACAACTACATTATGTCATTAATCAATCTATTATTTTATAATAAGGAAAATTTTGTAGATACAAGCTGTATCCCACATGCAATTATATCACCTGCCCAATGGTTTTCTTATTGCCTAAAATAAAGCCACATAAAGGGCATATTGTTCTCTCTACTAACTGTAAACCTCTTAATTTCAGAGATTACTAGTGTACAATACTTAAATGAATATGCTGCTGTTGATTTTGTTACAGCTCTTCACTATTCCATCAAGTATATTGATTAAAAGTTAAACATTACAAAGTAAAATGAGGGTTTGAAGCCATTACAGAGACATTTTTTTCATAACGGATTTTGCTACTGCCTGATCCTTCATGCTGTTCTTTTGTGCAAAACAAGGACTGTGAGATTAGGAATTGAATTCATAGAGATGTGGAGAAACAGTTTTATTGCATTATTTGGAATTCACTGATTTTAAATTTTTTTTAAGGTAAATTTTTAAATGATTAAATGAAAGCTAACTCTCATTATTACGCTATTACTTTGAATCCTGCCAATAAGAATTACAGTCTTGTAATCTTTGTAACAATTCATCTACAGGGCTCTAACACTCCCTAGTTTTCCAAAATATGATAATCTTTCCATAGACGTCATGTGAACAACTTTTCATATCCATCATGTTTTAAGTATTCCTTCTAATGTTTCTGTGTGTGCGAGAGTGTATGTTTTACTACTTCAGCCATAAATGATAATTGCATTTTGCTGCAAACTGATAGGGTCACTGTTCTAAATTTGAGTTTGCATTATCGAAGCCCATTAAAAGCCATTTTTATGGAGGAAAAAAAATAATGGACACAAAGAAGGATTTACATTTAATTCAATGTTTGTATTTGTAAATTTGGGGGGGGGGGAAAGCTAATGCATTAAGGTAAAATTCTTTGTTTTGTGTACTTGATAAATTGTAAGATTCCAATTGTTTTAAGATTAGTATAGAAGTTCAATACTGGTTTGTCCCGAAAGCAGCCTGGTGGTGTTTTAATATGTTGCTGACTTTGTTACAGATAATGTATACAATCAAAATGTACTAGTTTCACTTGACCAACTCTTAGAATAATAAGAAATCAGTGTATTCAATGGCATCCTGTATTTCTGTTCAGTATTTCAGAGTGGTTTTATTTTAGAACACTCTGTTCTTGTGTGAATTTAAATGCTATTCCAATGTTAATCTTAACATTCTGAAATCACACACAATATAAAGCAAATGTAGTGCTATATTTACTTCTAATTTAATATTCCTGGTCAAAATTACTCAATTTCTTGGATGTAATTTATTACAAAAGTTTACGTGTACATGTGAATAGACTATTGTGTTTTTCACAAGAAATGTTATGTGAAAATAAATATTTATCCTAATTAATTTTCAATTTTATTTTTATACTGAAAACCCCAGAAAAAACTACGTAATATGATACAGTATTTTAAATGCCTACCTGACACTTGAATATGCTTCACTGTAGAGCACAGTCCTGCTCCATTTCCAAGTGGAATCTCATGAAACAAGCCAACAGTGCTGGCTTGCAGTGTGTAGTTGATAGAGGTTACACTAAGGGAATACTTCTAGTTCTTTAAGTATGAGAGCCTAGTTAATGTAGTTGTTGGATTACAGAAATACTATTTTTGGTCTATATGACACTATTTGGCCCTTGCTACACAAGCAATCCAGAAGTTCATAATGATCATCTTTTTTACAACCAGTCTGTATTGCTGTGATGTAGCTTTATACTGATCTATGTTTCTTTCCCTTGAGTTAAAAGAATCAGAGATGAGGTTACTATAACCTTTTGGAGACAACTGACAGCCTTTATCCTACCTACAGAGCTTGCTTTAACAGCAATGCCAGTCTACATTAGAACAACTAGTACTGTGAGCCCAAGATTGTATTTGTAATTCCCATCTCCAGTTTGTTTTCCCCAAAAAACTTACTTATTTTGTGAGTCAAGGAGGTTTTGGTTTATTTGTGAACCCCTTATTTTTCTCATTTAAGGACTATCTGCACGAACTGTCTTGACATTCTCCCCCACCTCCCCTGTGCTTTATCTGTGTGTATTTACATTTAGCTGTGTACTTTTACATCCAAAGCTAGTGTCCCTAATAACCCGCAATACATAACTGATTGCATGCTGGCATCTAATAACAAGAAGTTTAATGTTAGATAATCACATCACCCTCCACTACATGGATACTATTAAACAAAAGGAGAAGTTTCCCTGTTATTCTCTCAAAATTAACAGGGATTTTTTGTAAATTCTAAGAGTTTGTTTCTTGAGTAGCATTTTCAATGATATGGACTACACCTCCTTTCATAACTTAATGTCTTTTTTATTTAAAAGCAGCACAGTTTGTAGTACATGTGGGTTTTACCATTTCTATCTATGTGAAATTAAAGCAGATGTTTACTGGTAGCCTACAAAGAAAAGCAGGTTTGCTAAGCAGCATGTTCACATGAGAGTTACATGAAGGTCGAGCCCTTGCTTTAACTGACTGCTACTTTGCATTGAAATGTATTATGTATGTATGTTTTGAGTGCAAGGAATATATCCCTTCATCAGTAAACGGGGGACTTGTAAAAAAAAGATTTTCTGTCCCATAGAGAAACAATGGTGGGGTCCTAGAGTTCCCCAATAAGAGTTTACCAGTGCAGATTTCCACAGTAGCAGCCATTGTGTCTATAAGCAAAAATCACAGTACTATAACAGGAAACAGAGAAATCCAGTGCCATTGATTTGAAAAGATAGCATTGAAAAACTTTGGTGAAAGCTGCCTTCCTTGCAAGACGTCTACAATTGTAATCAAGAGATTGCAGAAAAATACTGACTTAGGGAACTGCAGTAAACCGAGTTGCATTCTGCATAGCAAATATTAGCATTCCAGTATTCCTGATACTGTTTCTAAAATAGTAACTGATCAAGCATTAAGTAATTTCTGCAAAATCTGTTTAAAATTTTATCAGTACTTTCACAGAAATGATCACAGGGTTAATTTTATTTTTTGTGGGAAACATTATTATATTTGTTATTTAATTGATCTCCATGTTGGCTCCTTTGTGACACTTTCATCATTCATTACCCTGCTATAGAAGCTGGACTGTTTGTTTTAGGTGGAAATAGCAGAAGGTACTGATTCAAGCAAGTACCGTGCTTTCTAGAAGTCTGTAACATACCTACATTTTGGTGATGTTAACACCTGATTAAACACAATCAATAAAAATGCAATAGTTGTGTAGCAAAAGCAATCAATCATTACAGAGATTAGGATTTCATTGTGTATACAGGTATCACAAGAGCTGATCCTTATCTCAATTCATTAAAAGTTTATACTGGCTCAGTGTACATTAGCTAGAGAGTATGCTGGGGAAGTATTATCACTTGCTGGTGCTAGGGCAGTGAGAAACACTGCTTTATGAAATGGCTTATGTGGGTATAAATATGCTTGTGTGCTTGACCACTGATGGCATGGTCTTTGTCGGTGTACCACTGCAGGAAAGAAAAATACAGAGAATGTTAGTTCTAGCTATATCTAAATCAAACATGATAGACATAAAAAATGTGCAGCCATTTCAAATTATCCCAGCATGGAGGCAAAGACATGCTGGTGGTATGATACTTCAGTCCCTGCTTTGTATGTGGGATGCACCATGTTTCATGCTAACAGTACAAAATGATGATGTGGCTTGTCCAAATGGAGGGTAGATGCAGCTCTACAGTTTAACATAGAATCTGACCTCTGCACCAAGTAAGGCCTGGATGTTTGTCTGAATGACAGCCATGCACTGGTACTCTTGACTTCCTTCTATATTTCATCCTTTTCAGAACTGCTCTCCTTGAGCTGGGAGAAGGGAGGAAAGGAAGAGCTTGCACCTTTGTGAGTTTTCATGTACGGAATAAGAAGGGGCTATTTGTCTTACAAGTTCTATTGTCTATATTTGTCTTACAAGTTCAACAGAGAAACACCAGACATTACCTCTGGATAGGAAGATAACTTGGGACAGGTTATCTTGGACTTAGGATGTAAGGAAAGGTTAACTTCAGCTATCTGTAAGGTACTATTCACTGGATTTCAGGTATATATAGGATGCTGGGGGGGTCCTCTTCGTTAGGGACTGTAGTGGTAGGACAAGGGGTAATGGGTTTAAACTTAAACAGGGAAGTTTAGATTAGATATAAGGAAGAAGTTCTTTACAGTGAGAGTGGTGAGGCACTGGAATGGGTTGCCCAAGGAAGTTGTGAATGTTCCATCCCTGGCGGTGTTCAAGGCCAGCTTGGACAGAGCCTTGGGTGACATGGTTTATAGTGTGATGTGTCCCTGCCCATGGCAGGGGGTTGGAACTAAGATGATCTTAAGGTCCTTTCCAACCCTAACTATTCTGTGATTCTGTATGCAAAGATTGGTTTTGGCTGTTTGTCTGAGAGCACAGAAATAACAAGGTGAAAGATTAGGTAAGCTGGGTCAAATACAATTTGTTGCTTTACATTTTTCTTGTACAGAAGATATATGGGTGAGTTATGTTAAAATTTCAGTCACTGAAAATGAAATCTGAGTATATGAACTTTGATTTAAGATGGCAGTTAATTTAAACCTTACACCAGGGAGCTTTTAGTATTATTCTCATAGTACAAACCCATTTTTATGATGATAAACAAAACAACATACCATTGCCTGAAAATCCACTTCAGCATCAACAAGAGCTTTGGAAATCTGTGCTGCCTGCTGAAAGTGAACATTATCTGAAAAGTGGAAGACAAAGAGGAAAAAGGTAAACAAAAAATTGCTTCTGTATTGCTCTGGGGAAAAAGCAAAGCAACGAACACAGCAAACTCCCCAGCACTGCTGACTGAAACACAAATCAGTTGCAGAAAGCAGTATTATTTTATTGACGTAAATTTAACAGCCTTGCCCCTTCATGCTTTTGTTTTGTCAGTAGTAGAATTGCGAACCTGTCTGTAATACTAAAATGTCTAATTAACTGCAACTCACCATCTGCTGTTCCATGAATAAGGAGATATTCAACTTCCTTGAATTTTTCAGCTCTGGCCATTACTGTTGAACTCTGAAATTACAGAAAAGGGGGGTGTGGCGTGGGGGGAAGAAAAAACGTGCTATTTATTAGAAGATGATTTGCTACCAACTGACTATGAGTCCTGTTGACACAGTCTGGGGTCCTTCAGATAAACACAACCAACCACCCCTGCTCCCCTCCCCGCACCCCCAAGTAGCATGTTCACATATCCAGCAGCACTGTGCTCACACTCAAACCATTCTGCACTGATTTGCCATTATTACCAAGGGTTATGTCTGCAAAGTAACAGGCAATTCCAGAGGGGAAGACTTTTGTGAGTGAGATACACATTTAATGCATTGCTAACATGTTGTTAGCCTGCAGCACACCACTTGCCATAGGTTTCCTGTGCGACTGCAGACAAGTTAAAGAATGTTGTCATGGCAACAGTGCACCCTATGATAGCAAGGAGGAAATATTGCAGAGCCTACATGTGTTACGTTCCCCACCAAAACATACACTAGTTCACCTGTAGGTAAGTCAACAGAGCTAATATTCCACGAGTCTCAAGTAAAAATGGGTGACAAGAAGTTTAAAACAATGCACTCCCCAAGTATGATAGAGAAATGCCTGAGGGAAAAAAACTCTAGATGACATCTATAAATAGAAGTCAAGCTACATTTTGGGAATTGAAGCACAATACAGTGGATTAAAACAAACCAAAAAACCAGCAACTAGATTAATCAAGAAACTTAAAACACAGTACAACATACTCCCTAAAACATAATAACCACCTGATCATAATGTGACTAGGTACTAAAGAATAAGGAAAGTAAGGCTTGCAAGTAAGATCTTTAATTTGGGAAAGGAAATAGCATAGTGCTCTGCCATGAGAAAGGGGAGAAGATAAGGGTTAAGAGACAAGATATTTTGGGTTTGACAAGGCAACCAGCATAATGGGGCAAAACTACATTGATTTAGATTTCTTTCTATTGGCAACATTATAGGGGTTCTCTGCTGCACATGACTGAATCGCTGTGGACTTTTCTCTATATTGCTACTTAAAAGCTATTATGGCAAGGGAAACAAATAGTAAAAATTAAGAGCAAAAGAATTTTGGTTTGGTTGTGGTTTGGGGTTTTGTTTTTTGGTTTGTTTTTTTTTTTTAATTTCTTCTGCACCATATACTAAGGCTGTATCCTTGCACAGGGATTTTCATTTAGTACCCCCAAAAATATTGCATTACCAAGACACGGAAGTGTTCCAATTTCTTTATGTTTCTTGTATACTCATGAATCTTTAAACAAGCAGAAATTTTAATTAAATGGCAGAATAACTTACCTCTCATAACCGCAAAGAACTGATTTCCCTTAATTCAACCAAATTTAAAAAACAAGTTCAACACAGAGGGGAAAAAAAAGCACCCTCCAATCCGTAACATTGCAACTGCCCTCTCTTAATAGTGAAAGGCTGCAGAGCACCAGAAATCCCAGCTAATATATGGTGGTAATCCATGCACACTGGAAGGATGACCCTATCTACTGAAACGAGTTGGTACCATAGAGTAAGAACAGATAGTTACGAGAGTGCCAAAATTTGGAGAAAGGACTTCGATTCAGTGAGGAGCATTGGTACAGCAGCTGAACAAAAAGAATGACTCAGTAATGGTCCAGTGATATAAACAAACAAACAAGCAAGCAAGCAAGCAAACAAAAAAACCCAACAACCAAACAAAAGACACTAGGAAAAACTAAGTATCCTTTGAGTGTATCATTTTCTACATATGCAGAAGGAAACTCGATTGCCTTTACAAGCTTTCTTCCAGCAAATCAGTGCTGGTTAAAGGGACGGCAGACCTTCTGTGAGTGGGAGCCTGACTTAAGCTATGCTTCTGAGAGCTCTAGTTTCCAAAAGCAGTTTGAGAAAGTGTCATTATTTTTCCCCTCCATGCCTTAAACAAAATAAAGCTATTTGCTAAATACTTCAGAAAGAAGGAACACACAAAAGAGATACTTTCTCAGTTTTTTTATCACTTGCAACTGATGTCTCACTTGCTGTACCCATATTCAACATAAAGAGTCCCTTCCCATAAACGTGCTTTACAAGCAAAGTACTTCTGCCAAAAGAGAAGGTTGCAAGATTGGGAACAATCTCAAGGTAGGCACAGTTACAGCACAAAGCAATAGCTACATCAGCTAAACAAACCTGAAGTGGACAGCAAATAAAAATTTACCCCATCCATTTCATAATTCTACTGCTGGGACAAAGGTTCTGAAAAGGTAATGTGTACAAGTACTGAGAATTAAGCCCTGCTGAGCGTAACTGCCTCTTCTAAAGATCAACCAGCAGTCAACATTTTATCAGCACTCCACAAACAAGTTAAGGTTTGGCTGAAACTGAAGGTCTCTCTCCCTTTAGCATATTCTCAGATAATAGAACAAATGTCAAATCAGTACAAGATGGCATATTTACAAAATTGTACCCTGTTTTGCATAACCTAATGATGCAGCAGTTCTTAAGGACTGAACATTTCAAATCTGCTAGAAAAAGATTGCCAAATCTATGACTGTTTCAAACACTTGCCAAAAGCATATCAAATTCAGAGTGAACTGCAAAATAATCCTCTCACAAGTTGAACAGTCTCTTTGGTATGCTTTACATGGCTACTGCATCTGACCTCCGGAGCTCTGCCCTGATTTAGTCTCAAGTCTTTACATCAGGGACCTTTCCTCCCAGGCAGACAACCTCTGTTCCATTCAGCCTAGGATCCCAACGCAATTGTCATTCAGAGCTCCACTCATGCTTATTCCTTTCTTTCATAAAGCTCAAATTTTTAATAGTTCATAACCTGAAAAGGCACAATCACACCTAATTAGACTACTTAAAGGAGTGGGAGTCATCCCTCAGGCTTGTCTCTTGACAAAGAGCATTTAACATCTCAGATCTCTTCCTTGAATAAATGTGAAGCATTATGTCCCAGTAATAAAAAGGTAGGGTATACCCCTCTCACCATAACTAGTTTCTTCAGACTATATATTCACAGTCATTAATAATACTCTGCGCATTAGGAAGGCACCTATCAGCATGCATCTTCTGTGAGCAGGTCCGTAGACAGTCTCATTTCTTCTCAATTAGGGCACACACACTACAGAGTTTATGCAACCTTTTACTTTTCAAGACAGTTTACACAGTAGGATTGATGCAGTGCACAGACCTGACAGTACAAAGTTAACAGTTCAAAAATCCTGTAACAGCTTCAGCTAGGAGAGCTTTCACTACATGTTTTTGCATTCACTTGCTAAAAAACATTCAGTTCAGAAAACAGCTCTCAACAGAAACAGGGGGCCAGGAGGCTGGCTGTTGGGACTGGGACATTGAACAAAGGGGCTGTAAGCCAGGAACATGCTGGGCTGAAGGCAGTAAGGTCCTCAGCATCCACTAAATCCCATAACCCTTCCGCTGATGCTACATAAAAAGCAACAAACTCATTTCTTGAGCTACTCCATCCCTCCAGGTTCACATGGAAAAGTAAATTCCAAGTAATACGTTATTTGGGGCTTTTAACAACTAATGAGGACTTCAGTTGCATTTTCCTATCTCTAGAAGCAGCAGTGAAGTGTGACAATCTGATCTGTGCAATTACCCCTCCTCCATCCAGCCACCGTTCTCCCCAATTAGTCCTCTGAGTAACACATTTGAAACCTTTAGCTCTTTGGTACTGGCAGTTTCAACGTGGCCATTGCCAGCAATGGATACTATGCCAAGAAAATCCGACTCCTGGCTTGAAAGGATTAAACAGTCCTCTGTTGCCATCTGTGCCGTGAAGCTGGTGAATGACTTTGTGCACCCAGAGCGTTAACGTTCGTTCTGCACGACGACAGTAACTTCTATTTACACTGCTACCTCGCAGACCTCCTACTGTTCCTACTGCCTTAAAGAAACAAATTTGGAAAAAGGCAGGCAGGTGGCTGTGGGCTGCTGGTCAGTCCCTGGGGAGCCCAAATAGCTCGCTGGTTAGAGACAGACCCAGTCCCAAGTCTTCCAGCAGTCACTAACATTGTCCTCAATTTTGAGTGGAACATCTGACATAGCAGTTGACAAAACTAGATGGCTGTAGTGATATGTCAAAACAGACGTTTCAGTCCGTATATGTATGTATTTGTATGTTTTACCATATAAATGCAACAACCGCAACAACTGCAGAAAACGCAACAACCCTCACTCTTCTGCCCCCCCCCCATTATTTTTTCTAAGCATCAAAACACAGTAAGTGCTAAACTGTCTTCTACGCCTGCTTACCAACCTAAACACTGAGAATGCCTCACCTCTTTGCCTCTTATCACCTGTCTTTGGTTCCAGCATCACTCTGGCTGAACACCTCTGTAAAACATCCCAATGACCAGGGCACAAAGAACCCCCTAGATCCCTCGCACTTCAATAGCCACTGTATTTCCACCTACATCTGAAATTTAACAAAACCTTACAGAAAGCTTGTGCTGCTCTGCCCTACACCCAGCTACTACCCAGCTACTTCAAAAAACCCTTGAGGCAACAAAAAGCAGCTGGCACAAGGAACAGTAAGTCAAACAATTCATCATGTCATAACGAGGATAAGCAATCCACAGGTATTTTTCTCCCATTAGAACACCTGGAAATTCCCTCATTTCTGGGCAAACATTAGAGCAAACCTTGGACACCCTGTGTTCATGGAGATGGGGCTAAAACTCCAGTTCCAACACTGCTGGCTCTCAGTTGGTCTGCAATTTGCTTGATATGATCACAGTACAGACTTGCCTGTCAAATTTTCCTTGTATTTAGGAGATTTTGCTTTCCCTGAAAGAAGCTTGCAGATTCCCAAAGCAAGAAAGTTCACACAATACCCATTTTTCAAAAGTTACATTTCAGAAAGAACCAGAGTACATTTGTTTTGGTGGAAATGTTGTTTAAGATAAAGCATAGTTTGCCCACGAGCATATTAAATTTTAAAACAAATTTGTTTCTTGGTGATTAAAATAAAACAGTTTTTACAGCTTGTTTTACAGTCTGCAAAGTAGCCAAATGGAGCTGAATGTAAAAGAAACCAAAAAAACCTAACACACTAAACAAACAACAGAAAACCCACACCATACAGCAAGGAGTAACTACCTCATGCAAATCCGAACGCTGAGACTACAGCCTCTAAAAGTACAATGCAGCAGTTAGAGCTGGAAAGAAGAAACTTATTTGTTCCCATGGGGAAGAAACTAGACAGTATAAGGAAAACCAGAATGGTTTAGAATACAAACACCACACTTCAAGAAAACAAAATAAAGTGATTTATTTCTTACATTATAGTTGTTCAGGTTATCACTTGCTATAGGAAGGCCCATGTATCGCTCCGTGTATATTGAATCTGTAATTAAAAAAAAAACCACAAAACCCAAACCAAAATCTGCTATTTGATTTTCAGTCAGTCTGTCTACCAGTCTACCCACTGATACAAACAGTAAGAATGCATACAAAAAAAGAGGAAAGAAAAAAAACAGGTTTTCCACAATGAGGCGTGTAGGTAACCATCATTATTCAGAATATTTAATCTTCTTGTTGCCATGGACACCTGAATGCTGAATATTAATAAAGTACTTTGTGTCGGTGTTACCTTATTGTTATTCTTTCAGTAATCCTAACAAAATTACTGAAAATCTTTCAGTAAATGACTAGCATTGGACAAAACATACATTTTATCTAAATATTTCTACTAAAAATCTATAAAATGAAAATGTAGCAGTTGGTTAGGACGCAGCTCAGCTCTATGTTATATACAGTAAAAATTAAGTATCTCTAATTTTCCAGATTTTTCAGCATGGTATCATATTCCTTTTTTTCAGATTTGCTGCTTTATTTTAGCCATACAAATCAATGCTCTGTTGTCATATGCTAATGTCCACTTGACTGTTCATCAGTGTTGTTGCACTGCTTTTTTTTTTTTTTTTGATGCTGAACATGCATGCCTCCATAACCCTTTCCTTTATCTCATCAACTAAAAGTGGAATTTTGGAGATCCCGATCTTCATTAAAAGAAAAAAAAAAAAAAATTCCTGCCATGCTGTAATATTGATGTCCAAAACATTATGAAATCTCCCCTACGTCCTCAATGGACTACTGCTAATATCTGGCAGTATGATCTGATCTGTTGAATTAGCCAGAGCACATCATATGCTATTATACAGAGACTATGCTAACTGCAGAGTGATAAATTATGCCTTGTTTAGCAGAGGTTTGCCAGGAAAAGCTTTTCCTTGAACATTTTTGGACAAATCAAAACCAGAAAAGATGTGAAAATGTGGTCATATTGTGACAGCACGTATTATATTTTTAACTGTATATATGTCTTTTAATCTGGGAGGAGAGTCCCTATAACTGTATTTACTGCTTCATGCAACTACAGCCTTATACGCTATAAGCTTAAAGTGCATACAGACTTGTCCACTTTTTCAGCTTTTCCTCAAATCAAGCTATTCTTAAGATTAATCTTATAAAATCTAAATTTTACACTCTAAAAGGAAAAAACCCAAAGGCAATTCAAAACCTATTCTGTTACTTTGAGAGAGTAAATTATAATGCAAGTTTGATGTAAAGCCTCACAGTTCATTCTTCTAAGTGAAGTAGCAATTTGAAGAAGGTAAGTCTAACAGCCATTGATTTCTGACACACAATACTGGTCTCAGAACATGTGGCAGCTTCAGAAAGCAGACATAGACACATTACAGTAATACTACAAATTACAATAATTTAGCCTTCATTAGGGGTTAAAGAGATTACCTAAAACTGTGGATCTGACTTTTAAAAATGGAAAATAAGATTTAGGGAATTGGTTTAATTCCGAAATGCAGTACCCATGAGTTCATAAAAACAGACCAAGTGGCATTTACATGGCATCTAGTAGATAATCAAAGTTCTGCACTATGAATCAACACTTTGCAGCATGTGCACTGCAAGACATATGGGAATCCTTGTAACAAGGAAGCCATCACATACCATAATACTGCCAACTTGACACGGGGGCAACCGCTACTCCACACTTGAACACGCCGCTTCCAGAGCCAAGCACCATGGAGGTCACATATCCCCCATAAGACTGAGAAGAAAACATTGCTGTTATTTTAGTCGGAAAGAAAAGGATGGGGCCCATCTGCTAAACAGTTCATCAGACATTTATAGGCTCAGTGTTTTTCATATTAATGAACTCCATTCTGAATTTGGGTCAGATCTCACCCAACCTGCTCAGTTGGGGAAAAAGGCATCAAACAGCGCATGGCAGCTGTGGCGCTGATGAATGAGAACTTGCTGGGGAAAAAGGGTGCAAACGCTGCTGAACTGTGACTCAGCTAAGGATGACAGTGTTTGGTAGCACCGTAGGCAGCAGCGAAAAACAGGAAACAAGACACTGCTGAACCGCTGTGTCCTTCTCCGTGCTGGGGGGGTGGGGGGAAGCAGAGCTCGGGCCCACAACATGCCTGATGAGTAGTTGCACTAGGGCAACTGAAAATTTACAACTCCCTCAGAGCAGGCCTACAGCAGCTCACTTGCTAACTCTCCTCCAAAGCGTTGAGAGCAAGACTGTGACTGGGGAGCGAAGGATCTTCTGCAGAGTCTGTGGGAGGATCTGTGCAGCAACACACTCCTTGCTATGCACAGAAAACTCACTCTCAGGCTAGCTCGATACACAGATGAGTAAATATCTGACACACTTGAGCATCCAGGCAGCAAGATACCTAAACAATGTCACTGACCGCCCAAATAACTGCCCTCACTATAGTTTAAAGGGGTTATTTAGGAAAATGCGCCCACCCACATCAAGAGCAGCAATTTTTGGATCTCACTCCTGTCTTGAAACCAGATGACAGGCAAACGGAACTGTTCAAAGCCCTTAAATGTTCGCTCCAATTTCAACACTTAAGTCCTCCCAATGAGATCAGCAAAGTAATGCACCTACATAGTAATTAAACCCATATATACATGTTGCCTAACCTAGCCACAGTAAAGATATTATTGCTGAACCTATGACAAACAAAATGAATGTACATTAATGTAATTAATGTAGTGAGAGTCTGACAATCTGAAAACTCAAGAAAGAAAATCTGTTTGCCAACAGGTTCAGTATCCAGGATGCATAACTCCAACATAGCTCCAAAGAGGATTACTCTTCTGCTATTCATCCCAAGGCTCATAAGGAATAAGATGGGAATGCGCTTAGTCATCCATTTCTGCAGAAAGAATTTCCCTCCCGCTGAAGTTAATACTACTACACTTGACTTCCTACAGCACAGACATGTTGACCCCCCCAAGAAAAGCTAGTAAAGGTATCATCATCATCCTGCCCTCAAGTAATTTATTCACTGGTGTTTGTCACCAGCAGTGACCAAATTCCAGCTAGCAATCCAGTGCAAGATCCTGCATGCAATCCCGCATTTACTTAAACATAGCATGCTTAAACAAACATGCAAGAACACTCCCCATGACCAGAAAAGCCATTGAAACAGCAACCTGGGACAGAGAAATGTTCAGAGTTTGAATCAAATAGGTATCACTAACACCACATATGCACTTAGCCTTGCAGCTGAGGAGGTATGTACATCCTATTAAACACTCCCCTCTACTGTGACAAGTTTTAAAGGCACATCAAGTCAGAGAAATCTGGCCTCTGCTTGGATGTAGTGCCGAAATAAAATATAGCCAAGCACAACAACATAGCAGATTTGGATATTTTCAGGCTGCTAGTAAAAACATGACAACCATGCCATGCAGCTGCTTCACATGTAATTTGACATCTTATTTAAAAGAAATTAGAATCATCCAACTAATACAGAGTGACACTAATGAATATATACTTGGATATTTTTTAAAAAAATACTGGTTCATCTTGCACACAGGAACTTGGCAATATCCCTTTAAACTGTTTTTAATCCCTCTAGTAGTCCTAATTTCTGTTTCAAAAACTCCTTAATGCTTGCAAAGCGACAATGTATACAGGCATTGTACTTCATCAGTTCAGTTATTGGACTGTGCCACAAACCCAGAGACGTCTCACACTTAAGTACTCCAGCACCTCACACATACACCACCACAATAGCTGTTACAATTAAATAATATGCCCACCAAACTTATTTGAGTACTTACCCAACCCCAAATAGCTATTCTGTCCTTATCAACAAAGCTCATTTCAGAAAATTTTCTAAAAGCAAACAGAATAATTAAATGCTTAACAGATTGCAGGTATCTGCCATTATATAGATGTGCCTGTTTTCCATCATGTCTGCCCCTTTCTATCGTAGAAATAATAATTTTCCACTTCATCAGAGTGACTGCATATGAAAACACAAAATACTTAGGCATGTGTGTCTTCAAAAAACACCACGCATGTGAAAATAAACTCCTGGACACTATGTAGAAGCCCTTGAACCACACTCACTGAAATTTGCATTGTATTAGGTCAGGTTTCACCCCCTACCTTGCTTACTCTTTTTTAAAAAGAGGAGCAACACCCATATTGCAGCAGTAAGGGACAGGCCAACACCTGTAGATCCAGCCAGGATTTAAAATAAAAAAAGATTCTGAAATGCCATTTGTTTAAACTCCTTAATATTTTATAATCCCCAAAAGCAAATCCTGTAAGATTACTTCTTTGCGATTCTGATTCATACTGGCATCGTTCAGTTTAGTGAGGTTCAACAAGCATAAACCAAGTGATGAACATGAACTACGAGGTAAAGGCTGAATAGCTCATACAAGTAACTCCTTCACAACAGAAACCTGTAAAAACCTTGGAAGTAAACCTTCCAGCTCCTAGTTCCTTGGTAACATGCCCTTTTACTGCGACAGCTATCTTCTCTATAAAACCTAGATATAACTCTTCTCTTTTTAAGCATAAAACAATGATTTGCCCACAAATGACACACTTCAAGCGTAAAAAAAATAATGCAGGATTTAGTTATATCTTTGACAGTAATTTCAAGATGACCACTCAAAACCTTCACCTTCCCCCCCCGCCGGCCCCAATAAGCACAGAAAAGAAGGAGCAGATGTTGACCATTTCACTGTAGCTCACCTGGCTGCCGCTATCTGATCTTCCACTTCATATGTTCCCAGCCTTCGGTTTATTGCATGCATAATTTCATCTCCTTGGTATCCACTTCCTCTGCCATCAAAGCTGGCCACAATGATCTGCTCAGTGCTTGCAAGGTAAGTAGCCCAGCTGATTTGGAAGACATAATCCACTCTCTGACTACAGGGTCCTGCATACCTGGGTAAAAAGTGCCACAGAATTCAGGCATTAACTCTCCACATATTCTCATATTGAGCATTTGAAATACAAATATTGCTAACAATTTTCAGCCAGTAAAGAAGAGTAAACTTTTAAATTAAACTGAGCAAACAAGAAAAGCATCACTCACTGACTCCAAACTGCTGCTTTGTCTGGACTCTAAAAGCAATAAGCTTTTTTAAAATGTCAACTGTTAATCAAGAAAGCAGACTGGATTTTATTTGTATTATTGCTTTCTGCTCCAATCAGAAACATTCATTATTTTGACTTTAAGCACGTTGTCAGTAATCAAAATCGAATTCTTTTTTGTGTTGGCGTATCTAGTCACCTGAGCTTCAAAGCAATGCTCTTCAACTATTTCTGTTCCAGGTACCCATCATTTATTTGGTTAAAGTCTGAAATCAACAAATAGCCTTAATTTGTGAAAATGAAAGCCCTTTTCCTGCATTTTTAGTGCCTCATCACTGTTCCCTACAGTCTAAACTATTTCGTATGCAGGCTGAGAAAAAGGAAGCAAAAAAGCATTTTTTCCCAGTATTAAAAGCAAAGAAAAAACTGGGAATTCTCTGTATCAAGCTTTGTATTTATACACTATGCATCCTGATACTTCTGAAGTAATTTCTGACTCATTTCTGATCACCATGAAGCTGAGGTGATCCTGACAAAGGCCCAGGTAAGTCAATAAAAAGAGAATGAAAAACAAAGTAATTCCTAAGGAGCGAGGAGCACTGAGTCCTCATTAAAATGTTCAACGGGTGTATCAAAATATTACAGTGCTACCAAATCACACTATATAAAGATGTATCTAACAATTAACAGGAGTGTTTTTGTGGATTCAGCCTTACATTAAAAACAAACAAACAAAAAAGGAACATATTAACATTTCTATTTTAATGCATAGCTAAATTTCAGTAATTTCCAGTTAGAAGAAAACATACATGAACAGAAGTGCTAAGGAAGAACGGACCAAGCAGCACGTGCTAATGGTCTTGAATTTATCAAAAAACCCAACAAATGCAACCCTGACCACAGGATGCAATTTGCCAACACCAGTTGGCAGTAAAATATCATAGAGAAAATGCAATGTCACACTCATTACTTCAGCTTTAGCATACACAGATTATTCAGGGTTTCATTCTGGCACATAATTTCTTTGAGTATTATTCCTAAGGAACTCTAAGAGTAGAGGAGAAGGTAAGTTCATGCTAACATCCTGGCTTTTAAGTCAGACACAGAATGCATCTGCCTCTCTGCCACCAGCAAAACAGGTGCTTGTTAAGCATTACATCATCTTATGGTACAGGAATCTATCACAAATTGGGATACACTTCATTTTTTCATTCCCTTCATTTTTTTCATTCCCTCTTAAAACTACTTCAAGAAGTAATTAGAAAACATGCCAGTTTTGTGTTTCCTGATCTTATTAAGAGCATTTGAAGTAGATGAAAGTGATTATTAACACAACATTGCCATGTAACTTGAAGACTTACACTTCAAGGAGCAGAGGGTACTTCTTTGATGAATCGAAATGGGGAGGCAATATCATTTGATACCACAGGTCTGAAAGGGAAAAAAGTTTGACTTAGGTCAGTTCTCCAGCAAAATAATTTGGCATGCGTTGCAATTCATACAAGAGCACATTTGAGTCACTCCCTGAAAAGTAGTTTCATGTGAACTGTCCTAACATCTACAGGTAATCTAAGGATTTATTTATTTTTTTTAATGTTCTACAGCTAGGCTGTCGGAAAGTCCGGGACTGGAATGCCTACAATAATGTATGGGACTCACCATGCTGTCTCGCAATATTATTCTACATTATAAGCTTACATGTAAAACTTCCTAAGTCTCTACAGTGGTACATCTGACACTAGATCAGAAATGTTTCTCTACTCCAATTCCTCTACCAGCACACTAAGAAGAAATTTTAAATATTTTGAACCTGCCAGATAGGCTTTGCATGACAGTTTGTAAAGCATCCCAGAAACATATCCAAATAGCTATTATTTCTTAAGAAACATTGATTCCAGTTCCATCCATGTTACTCTTGCAGCCCAAGCTGGCTGAGAGCTAGCTGAAGATTTTAAATGCAAAACTTACATTAAATCACCAAAAAATTAACAATCTAAATTGAACACATGAAAATACCAATTTTACTTCTGTGTACTCTCTAGTCACAGGAGCAGGTTTCTTCTTTGATAACATAGATGGATTAATGAGCAGAACCTGAAGCAGGACTACATGAATGGACTTATTTCTCCTATTTGTGACATAAAAAAAAAAAAAAAAAAAGAAAAAAAAAGAAAAAATATTCCCCTTACCCAAAAGCTTTTACCTTGAAGAGATGAAGTAGCAAGAACAAAGAGGAATAAAAAAAAAAAAAAAAGAAAAAGAAAGAATATACAACTAATAGCAGTTGGATAAACCTCCTTCTTGCCTGGAAGATTTCATCTTTAGCCCTAGTAAAAATGTGACAGAAAGAAAAGACAGAAAACACAAAGATAAAGAGAGTTATTATATAAATAAGGTAACAGTGGAAGGAGGGAGGCATTGAAAAGAACAGTTAACAATGACTGACAGAACTAAATATAGTTTGTAAAATATAATTCCATTAACATTCATTCATTTTAGCAAGAGGAAGTTTGTCACAAAGAGAAAAGCTAGTAGTAAAGGCTGGAGCAAGAACAGTTTAGACAGGTATCAGGCCTCCCACTGCCTATCTATCACAGCTGGTTCCTCAGCCTAGGTGCACACCAAGAAAGATGCTGTACCCAGATGTGCAAATTCTGAGGAACGCCATTAGCAAAGCATTAGCAGTTCATTTTCTAGCATTTTGTTCTAGTCTATATTCAAAGGTTTATGTAGTCTTGGAGCCTGAACTTGCTTTTAGGAACATGACTATTCAATCCAAATACTCCCCTACACAAAGTCAAAGGTGATCTAGTTGAAATGTAGCCTAAATGATTTTGTAAGCTTTTCCATTTAGTTTCTGTATCCATTTTTTGATAGTAACTGAACTTCTCCACTTCCCAACCTGCTAACACAAACCAAAGGGACTTGTACCTGTAAATTAAGACCTATTTGAATTTACAATTTAATTTAAATTCAACAATGCTTATGAGCTTTGTGCCCCGCCCACATTCCTGTAATTTATTTAATGTGATGCTAGGGACTTCTGTTTTTCAGGTAAGTATCAAGGAAAAAAAGGAGTTAAACTGCTTCTTCATGAAAACATCAAGATACCACAGGAGAACAAAAAGCATATTTTCGATAAGAATATTTTGGGATTTCTGGAAAGATAAACTACAACCAATCCAGAATTTTTGGAAATATAAAAAAACCCACAAAACAACAAAACAAAAAACCTCAGCAACAACAACAAAAAAACCAAACTTATCTTGCTTTTAAGTTCTGAATAACTGCAGTAATCCCCACTACACCCATCTCTTCTGTTATGCTTTTCAGCAGTAGACCTTGAAGCACTTGGTGAAAGGGGGAAAGAAAGGCACATGTTTTTGAACTTACTGTATCCACCTACAAGAATGGAGCCAAATTTTTTTGAAGGCATCTGAATATCTTCCAATGAATTTTCCAGTTCAGTGTTGTTTTCCAAGTATCTGAGGACTAAATAACAGAGTTAGTAAGAGTCAAAGATTAAATACATTATTTTCAAATGCATTGCTCTTTAATTGTGAACCACTTTAAAAATTCAACCTGAGATGACGGCAGCCTACACTGCAGTCTTAGTTTACTGCAGTTTTTGTTTTTCCTCTCAGATTCAATGTTTACAATATAGTTTTCCTTCAGTAATTTAGTAACCAGAAAGCTGGTTTCCCTGTTTTTCATCTAAGTGCAATTTCAGAAAAACTGAACAATTATCGAGTAAATAAGTCATACATTACTCACTGTTTTCTAGCACAATGTAAAATATTACTAAATAAACCATGAATAAGTTTACACCAAGCTATATAATTCCTTCTTCTGGATAACTGGAGTAATTATCTGAGATTAAATTTACCCTTTATAACTGACATTTTAATTACCATACTAAGCAATTTACAGTGCAATTTTCTGACTCAACACAAATTATATTTTAAGACAATCCCATACCTTGATCATTACTGCTTCTGTGCAGAGTAGATACAGGCAGGCCAGGACCTGTTAACAGAGCATGAAACCTTCATGTTTGCATGATGTCTCAAAACACAGCCCGCAAAGTAACTGGAAATCAGTGAATCATAAAAGCTCAGAACTTGTTTCCCTCCAGTCTGCACAAGCTGGATTTTTAGCTGGGCCCAAACTCAAGCCACAGGATCCTGAAAATGTTCAAAGTGTCTTGCAGGCAAACCACATAGTTGTGAAGAATTAAACTTTCACTCTTTAGCAAAGTCTACCCATTGGTTTTGGACCACCGTTTGGAAATCAGTATGCCTTGTCACGGAGACCACAGCAGTCTTCTTCAACCAACCATTGTTACAACTTGGCAGAACAATTCCCTCCCTGCTGTCTGTCTGTCCTTCTAATCCATAGGTCAAGGAAGATCTTGGCATCTTAAAAAACAACATACAATTCAATTTAAGGGAAATTTCAAAGAAGATTTTATTTTTCCCACCCTTTGATTAATCTTTCCCTTGTACTATCTAGCACAGGCACTTACAGGTCAGAGACAGACTACAGTCCCACTGCTTTACCTTATGATTACGTTCACTGGATTTTTAGGAATAGCACTGTCTATCTCAATTTTATTGCCACTCATAAAGCACTTCCCTACCCAGCCTGTTGCTTGCCTTGTTCCCTGAGCCTTCAAATTCCTTCTACAGACACGAGCTCCCCATGCAGCTCTCAAGGAAGCACAGAGAGGACAGGAGCGTTTTGCACCTATTTCAGGTCTACTGATAGATAGAACTATCAAATTTTATCCCTGTAATTTTTGACAAGGTGCTTTTGAGCCTAGGAGGGAGTATGTTTTTCTGCTGTCAATGCATTTATCCACTGATACCAACACATATCATTGTTCCACAGCGCGTATCAAGATCTTGACGAAGTGAACTTCCCCACCCAACTAATCAGTGAGTCATGTTTATGTCAGTTAATTCCAGATACACTCACCACGACAATCTAGTTGATAGTACTGCGCGTCTTTGCTGAAGGACACAGAATAATACTGGCATCTTTCTCGATTCAGATCACAGCTAACACATTTAGTAGAGTTTGGACTGCTTTCCAAGAGCACTCTGCAAAGTAGACGAGCTTCATTTCAGAGATGAAGTTGTGTCTTTTTTTTTTTTTTCCAGCTATGTTAAACTAAGGTATGATTTTAAAATAAAATGACCAAATGAAGTATGTTAAAATTCAGGAGTAAAGTTCTTACTGATTTAAACATTAGAGAAAACAGACTTTAATCTTTTGAGTTCAATTAATACTGGAATTATGATCATAGCAAAAAAAGCGGAAGAGGTTTTCTTTAGGGGTTTGTTGCTTAAGGATTGGTTGTTTCTTTTTACAATTGTCCTTATAGTATTTTATAAATTATATTATAAAATTATTGTAGTTATTTTTCCAGTTTATACTTCTACACTAATTTTCATTAAATATCCTATATAGGATCCCACATTAGATTGTGAACATCCTAATCTTTAAGAAAATAGCATTGCAAAATAGAAGATTCCTTTTCATTAACAAGTATTTTGCTCATACTGCAGAATAAAAGTCTTACTTATAAAGATTTCTTCCTCCTGGCATTCCACCATTTTCATTACTAATGTAGTATCTATAAAAGCAAAACATATTGGTTTTGATAAAATATTTACAGTACATTACAAAATTCAAAGGTTTCTCTTACACGTTTAGATCAGATTTTTAATGAGTTAAATGACACCTTCTCCCTGTTCTCCCTCCCTGCTTGCTTAGGCCCTTGTTACAAGCCCTCCTGATAGGAATCAATAGCTTAATTACAATACTTACAAAAAGTTACTGGTTACAGCTTCTATGCTGATTACTTCCCATTTTCCTGCAGTAATAGGTACTGGAGCCTGGAGAGAGGGGGAAAGGCAAGGTAGAAAGTAGAATGTGAACCTCCTCACTCACCAGGAGAAACACAGGTCAGCAGTGACTGTTCTACACCTTATTACCTACCTGTGAGCCATTTACGTAATGGATGTGCTTGTAACCTACTGTATTGCTGAAGACTTTGTAGTAGGTAGCATTGTCAGGTGCAAAGTGAGGGACAGATGGCTGAAACTTGAACACAAGAGAGATGCCTATTAAAGCAAACAAAACTCCAAAATGATAAATTTAGTTTTGATATTGCTAAACAGGAGTTTCAGTACTTAAAACAATGTATCACTGAACGTACTAGGAATTTTTTTTGCCTACTTAGTAGGTAGAACCTGTAGCCACTACGCTAAAAATAAACACACTTAAAATATTTTCTTGCTCCTTCAACAGCAGAATTTCCTGAGTATTAGTTCTGGTAATGATGGAAGTCCCCTCCTCCTACCTTCCTTGAATTTGAAATCCTACAGTTGTTCCTAGTTTCCTCCCATTTTAGGACACAATATGTGCATCTACAAAGTCACTGTTTTATTGTTACATGCAGTTGTAACCTACAGCAATGTCAACATTGCAAATATGTTTTCCTTGACTTTCCCATTTTAAAATGTGCTTGTGAACAAATTCTTTGAACTTTTTTTTTTTTTAGCTTGACAATGAAAAATATCCCCCCTTATTTAAAGAAAATAAGCTGCTTTCCAAGAGGAAATTCTGCTACTAAGTAGCAAAAAAAAGCAGGTGATTACAGAATGCCAAACTGGAATGATATTTTCATGAAACAACTATTCACTTATCAATTGGGAGTGACAGAAATGAATGGATTCCTTCTACTGACTGTCATTTGGATGTGCTCCATATGGTAAAGAGAAAAACAAGACGAATGAAATTGAGCCGAATGAAATACAAGTTACTTCTGTGATAAATGTCCAAAACAGCTAAATGTTAATTAGGAAACTGAGACAATGCAACTACCTCTGAGATAGCCTACCCATTTTTTAAAATGGAAGTCAAAACAGAAAGATGAAGTGACTTGCCTCTGGTCACTCAGTAAGCAATGACAGAACTTGAGTCTTCCTAACCCATGTGATCCAGATCATCTCTCCTTCATCACTAGCAATATTTTTGCAAAAAATAACCTGGCAAATATTTTTCTAGCTTCTCCCTTATCACAGCCTTGCTTTTTCAAAGTGTGACTTTCCTTCAACTCAACTGGCAAGCTCTAACTTAGCTCATGACCTGGAAGCCTTATGCAGTAACACAGGCTGTTCTGAGCATCGAGCATTCTTAGATTAAGCATAAATTCATCTCTACTTTGGAAAGTTAAAAAAAAAAAAATGGGGAAAAAGAAAAAGAAAGAGCGTAAGAGAAAACAAAAACCCCACTATATATAGAGAACTATATATTTTACACACCTATTTACTTAAGTTTGTATATACACTTACATGAATCATATACATGTGTGTATATACACACTCATATCGTATATATAAATATCCCTTATCAAATGTCATTTTATCATCCCTAGGTAAGAATAAAGGAAAGGAATAAATATACCTTTCCTATCCCCTCTTCAATCCTCTCTACTTTCCACTCCTTTCTGAAATCCAAGCATCATACAGTGAATTATCTTTTTCTCCCAACAGCTCCTAAGATGTGGGTTGTCTCTTTAAAAGAAACAAAAAAACCAACAACCTAGTTTAATGGCACAGACTTGCATTTTGCCCTCTCATTTTGCACAACTGTTTACAAAGTCTGCAGCTTGATCATCACATTGTCTAATTGTGAAGCCTTTGCTGCAGAGAAGCAAAATGTGTCAGCGTTAAGGCCTTCCTTTCCATATCAAATTTGACAGCAGGTGGGTTGATCTCTCATCTTCATACTGCGGATGATTTCATCCCTGCTGTTGCCTCCCTCTTTGCATTTCTTTAAACTTTCATTTTTGACTTCAAAAGTGAATTAGTGACTAAAGCATAATCAGTGTGTGGAAAATGCGGGAGTGGAAAGTGTACTCTGTGTTCTCATCAAAAACTCTGAAACTCATTTCTCCCTCCAAGTCTGAACTTTTGCATCTCTGCTTCACTTCCCCCAGATCTTCTGTGTAGTTCATTAGGTGCCTACTCTCTACCATGTACAAAAGGACTGAGAGGCAGCTTTGAAAGCATCATCCAGACAGTAGTGATTGGTTTAGCAGAAGTTTATGAAAATTTTAATCTGTCCAGTTATTTGCATCTTGCCCCCAATTCTGTTCAATGGGCATTTCAGGTGGGGGGAAAATAAATAAATAAAATGCCCCAAAGAGAACATAGAATGGTTTGTTGCAACCTGAAACGCTAAAAATTACTTTTGTCCCTCTATGCCCTTCCTCCAATACAATTCAAAAGGTTATAGGATACACTTCTTCATACATTTTATCCCCTAGATCATTCTAGAGGTGGCAGGAAGACTGGAGAGCCGCCAAACCAGCATAGCTGACAACTCCCCCAGAACAGAGGGAATTCTGAATTCTGCCTCCTTCACTCCCCTACCTACTGCTACCAAAATGGTAGCTCAGAATTAAAAAGGAGTCTGGAAGGAGCACTCTGCTTTCTGGCAAGCTGAACATGATGCATGGGTCATGGAGGACACAGTTACAGCTCCAGCCCATGCTGCAGTCAGCCCAGCCTGGGAGTTCAGAACCCCATACCCACAAAAGCTTAAAACCAGGAGCGGGGTGGCATAGCAGCTCCATTTGAGACCATTTTTTTCCTTTACATGTAAAATGCAACAAGTGAATGGATCAGACCTACATGCAAGAGGCACTGCAACTGGCAAGAGGCTCATGTGACATTTTCTTAGTTATCAGTGTTATTTAGCATTTTTAGAAATTGAACACGTACTCTGCCAATCCAGCCAGTTGTACTTTCTTCTGTACGTTGTTTTTCCTAAGAAAGAAAAAAAACAATCCCACAACAATTATGTTTATTTTATATCAGATTATGCTTCTACAAAGATAAACATACAGAGATACTCTGCTCCTTTCTAGTTTCATTTATCAAGCATTTTGACTCTCCCTCCTCCTTTTTCTTACCTGTGGACATAACCAATTTCCAGTAGCACTTTCAAAGTCACAGACTGTGAGGACTGAAAAATTCTGAATTCTTCTGAGCCACTGCAGACAGATCCGTTCATCTGTCACCCATGTTACGACACTCAAATAATGATCCCTGAAAACAGCAATAGCATTAGACTACTTAAAATCCTCTTTGTCATAGCATACTATGCAATAGCATTCAGCAATTTACTAAATGAGACTCATATGGCTATTTTCACTTCAATCTACTCTTCCACAAGAAACAATGATGCAAACCTAATTGAGCCATTTTCTTGTCAATTGTTTTTGACACTAGTAGATGTTTTGGTTGTTTTCATTCATACAAGAAAGAATTAGATGTTTTGTACATACCCACTTCCAGAAAGACTGCAATTAAATTCTAACAGCCAGATCACTATCGTCTAATGCACAAAATAGCTACACCAGACTGTTCATAAATCTTGTACTGTGTGCATCTAGAGGAAATTCTTCTGAATATTGAGTTGTATGGACCTTAGACTTTGGAATTTTATCTTTAGCTGTATGAAGTTGGTTGCTTGTAAGCACTTTCTGAGTGATACTTATCTGTTCAATTTAGTACTTATTTCCATGATTTAGAATGGAGGGAGAGATCATACCAAGAACAGCTATTACTATTTGAATATTTTACTTTCATCTTCAGAATACCAACTAGTTGACACGAAGTACTGGAGTATCTTAAAAAGAAAATTTATAATTTTAATGAATATTCCTATATATTAATTTAAAAAAGCCACCACAAAATTTGGTGGGTTTGTTTACCATTATGATCTATTAGATGTACTCATCTTTTCTTATTTTAGATCTCGCCTATCTCTTAGAAGACTTATGAACTAAAAATAAAACAAACCTCCCCTCCAAGGCAAGTATACATTTTTAACTGGAATTTGCACATTTAACTTAGTTCCAAGTTCATGTTCTCTTTTCCCCCCAAAGTTAGTTAACAAAAATGTGTGGGAAGTTTTGTGATGGAGTGAGTATATTCATGATCACTGGGGGGTGGGGAAGTGGAGAATAAAAGAAAGAGAAAATACTACAATTAGAGTGGATGGATTAAAAATATATGCCAACTGGTTGCTGACCACTTCCAGGTTTATTTCTAGGCTGCAATTGAGAAATCATGTTTCAAAAAGGTCTATTTTTCCATTTATATTTGACCGGGAAGATGGTAGGTCATTTAACTGTTACTGTCATTGCCTTCAAGCTGTGTATTTTAAACCAAAAATACTGTAAAAGCACTCTGCAGGAGATTGTTTGGTGGATTAAAAAAAAAACAACAAAACAAACAAAACCAAACCCAAAACTTGTGTTCCTCATGTACCTGTGATACCCGGTTCCCCTTTTTTTAAATGGGGAATTAGCCCCACGGTTTTTGTTCGTTCAAAGTAAGAGAATTCTGGAGACTATAAATCATCTATCAGACAAGATGGACAGTACAAGGAAAAAAAACCCAACAAAATTACTATTTATTATACTGTTATTATAACGTAGTAAATATTTTAAGGTTATCATAGAGACAAGGAGTGCACCTTCAGTTTCCAACAACCCATCAAATGTTAACTAAGCTGAAATTAAGTATAGTGTACAGTAGTTTTGCATTGCCCTTCCTCATTTGCTACTGAGAAGGGATATTCCTGCAATAACTGTCTGGAGCTCTCTGCTCTGAGGACAACTTATTTTTAGGACAGATCACTTCAGACAAGAAGCATCCACTGCCTTCATCCTCCTATTAGCCAACAAGAGTCCCCTGTACCCATGATGCTAGAAGTGGTGTCTATACATTGCACGGATTTCATGCTGGTCATATCAGGTTTCATCTACCATGATGTGTGGCACTGCCATTCCAGATTTTGGCAGCTTTCCTTGACAAGTAACAAAACTTCTGCTCTAAAACAAGTGTGCTGTGCTCCCTTCAACCGTGGGGGTGCAACTGCTGTGCATACAAGCTCTGGATAGTGCTGCAACAGGCAACCATTTGCTGGGGCATTGCCCCTCGAAATCCCCACCCAGGCAGGTCAGGTATGCCACCAGTTCAAACTTATTTTTACTCAGAATTTGGCTCCAAGAAAGTAAAAATAGAATTTTCCACCACAAAAAGTAACCTTTTGTGTCATAAATATGCATAAATATACATGCCATGCAAATATTCATTACTTTGTGCTTCCAGGAGCAAAACTACTCAACAGCAACATTGCACATCGCTTGCCTTTTCCTACTCATATGTTTGCTCTTGCAAAATTCGTCAAGACTTGTTCTGGCCACATCAACGTTTGTAGGACACATGTGAGGCTTAGCCACTACCTGGAGCAGCCACTGGTAGACAGATGAAGTTTCAATCCTTGCACTTGTCATTCAAGACTTACACTGTTACATTCATTTAAAAATGGATTAACTCCATAGAAAACTCGGCTGTGTTAGTGAGATGGGTACAAGGCTGGAAGGGAGATGATGGTTACTCTCCCCAGGTCACACTGCAGCATTGTACAGCTTTCATTAGGTGTGAACAAAAGATAAAACACAACTCTAAGACAGCAAGAATCTAAACCAGAACTGAGCAAAACGTATAAGGCTTTTACTTCTGAGGCACTGAAATTCTGGAGAAAACCAGCGTACAACAGCTACATAACACCTAGCTATCGCAGTGTTACTGCAGAGAAAGGATAAAGAATAACATTCATAAAATCTTGCTTAACGCAGAGATGTTAGTAACACTGTGGTGAGGACTGAAATGGAATAGCACTGAGCCTCCAGTCACAGTTTTTTGGCCAGTATGTTCAAAATGCTGATTTTATGCACTAGCTAACAGACCTCTCTTGTTTTTTCCTGAAGTTTATCAGTGTAACCTGCGCTTCCATACCCATTGTGTTTGTAAGTGCAAAGCTTTAAAAAATTTCCACAACGCTGTTAAAAAGAAACAACAAAATCCAGGATCTGGGATACCAAATACTGTGTGCATGCATTTTAAATCAATTTAGCTGCTCTTTACAAAATACACTTATATCATGTTGTGCATTTCCAGTGGCATTTTGAGAAATACAATTTTCCATTTACTGTGAGAGGTGCTGGTTTTCACCATGTTTCCAAAGAAAACAAACATTTTAAGTATAAATCTGAAGACAGTCATGATACCTTGCCTTAGCAAGGAGTCTGCTTCCAATGAAATCAAATCTTCACTTACCATTAAGGTTTTGTTTTGTTCCCCACCCCCCCAAGTGAATTGGAATACATATATTATAATTTGATTATACCAAAACTTGCTCATATTAAAGTTGTACTGTGAAATGACTTCACCATAGTTAGACTCCACTGAATGTGATGAGCCAAGAACTTGTCAAATTCTGAATATAACATACATGGAATATGCCATCTATATATAATCACTAGGAGGATAATCTCTGAGCAGATTTTCTCTGGTAAATCTTGTTGCTACCAGAGCCCCAGGACTGGGAAAAACTGCCATATAAACGGAATACATGGTGGTCACACAACAAAGCTCCTCCTCTCCCACCAGAAGAAACAAGCAAACATCGAACCAAAATTTCTTACCCTGATATTATTTCTGCAGGTGGAGAAATTTCAGCAGAGTGGAAAGCAGGAAGCAATCTCGTATCCACAATAAAGAATTGCACAGTTGGATTTTTAGCTCCTGCCTAAAAATATATTTTTTCATTGTACTTTTGAAGAGAGAATATTCTTTGTGAAATAAGTGTATGAAATGATAGACGAAGAAATTACTAGAGTCAGGTAGAACCAGCCAACTTCAAACATTTGAAAAGACAAGTTCCTAAATGCAGTTCTTAAGATTGGTACATAAATTATCCTTTGTGGGTTTTTTTTGTACGCAAGTGTTACTTATGCGTCTCTAGATAAGAAAGACTACTACATTTAGAAACAGTGGTAACTACATAGGGCTTGCTGTACCCAAAGCAGTATTGGGCGGTATCTCATCCCACATGCCACACACAGTACCTAACGGTGAATCAAATCCACTGCTAACAGATAGAAAACTGCTTCTTCATAGAAACTGATACCTTACATTAAGTGATCACATAATAAATAGCCGCCTATACCACAATCAAAGCTGTGACTGCAGCACATACCCTATTATATTAATGTAGTACTACCGACAATAATGTAACTGTGTCAGGAAAGGCTTCCCTAGAATTTAACTAGCCAAGTCCTCATCATAAGGGTTAGATAGCTGTAGTTGACACTCCTACAGAAGTTGGCAATATTCCAAACAAAAAGAGAGTTTATAATGATAAAAGGTACAATTTAAATTGGCAGCTCATTCCACACCTATGTTTGTTCAAAGGCAGCACACTCTAGGGCACAGTGCCTGCATCGGTACATGAGCCCAGTGCCTCACTATGAGCATTGGTGATCTCTCTGGGGGAGGCTCCAAGAGGACAGCTGAGGGCCATGTGTTCCTGAAGCTTTGGGAAGGGTGGGAATTGACTGACCATGGCTGCTGCTCAGAAAGCTGACCTTGGGCACAAAGAGGACCAGAGGGTGGCTTTTTACAAACAGCTGTACCAGTTGAGCAATTAGTTGACTGTACCAGCTGTTCTGCCCCAACAGAACAATCAAAAGAATCAAAAGAATGAGAATATCTTCCTGAGCCGGCCAGACCAGCATGTGGGAGCATATATAGGTGCCTCAGCCAAACACAGACTATAAAAATCAAACGACAAACAAAAGGAACTGAAGAAAGTGATGGGCTTGAAATTACAACCCATGTAATTCCTTCCCAGCAATGGGGATTCCCATCATGGTGGCAGTGAGCATGTTATGGAGACCCACAATGAGAACCATGTTTGTGTCACGACTCAGCAGTATAGTGCAATTGTTGTGTTTTGTACCTGTATTGTGTCTTCAGTGCACTGCTGCACCTACTAAACCAAAATCCCACATAATGTTGAGCAACCTCACGCAAGTAAATCCTGTATTAAACATGAAACCCTCCTATTACGGAGTACCTGAAAGAACTTGTTTAGAGCACAATGGACATTCTTACACCATTTAGTCCACTGCTAACTGTGCCACAAGCAGTGGGCACAAAATCATGTGGAGGGGAAGGAGCTGCATACACTAAAAGCTTCCCTCTAACAGCTAAGACTGAGAGAGCTTTACATCTAGACAAAGAAACTCCATCAGCCAATTCCTCTGCTTCACCCCAATATAGGAAGCATCTAAACAACTAAAAACGCTACATTGAAGTTGAGAATATTTCACTAGCAATACCATGCACAACCCTAACACCACAATGTACATCTGTCAAATGCTTTGTACCAATTCCAGCTTCCCAAGAGTTTTTTTTCTCTCGACATCTACTTGCTACCTCAAAATTTTCTGGTGAAACAACAAACCCTTAAATCATTTCTTTTTTTTCTCCCCTTTTCCTTTTTGCTTTCCCCTGGAGATAAAATACTTTAACATTGCCAGATGCTGTTGACTTCAGCAAGAGTAATCACAGCAAGCTGTTGAGGAGAGACAGACAATATTTTCATTAGCAGAAACTGATTAAATGAGACTACTCTCTTAATGAAACTGCAGAACAACCATGTTTAATAAATAACACAGACCTTGGGATACGGGATTCTAATGGTCTTTGGATACTGCAAGGTGTCCTCGGAATAAAAGGAATACTCTATAACAGGAACTTCTGAATCATTAAATGATGCATATGCCACAAAATTGCCATTTGGAGACCACCACAGAGCAGAATGGGTGCCAAACATTTCCTCTGAAAGAGATGCAAATGCATTTAAGTTATAATTGATAAGTTGACTCTTGTACCCTAGGTACTGTTCTCAGCAGTTTTTAATAGGATTATTTTAATTGAAGCTCAGGTACCAAAGTGCAGACTGCTTGACAGCATTAGATCAATGCTTATGGTCTATCATATGAAGCTAATTCACAAGCTGACTTCCAGTGATGTACTGCAAGTTAGGTGAACTCATTTCTATTCTTAGATCCTCACACTAGCTAAGTATTAAACTCAGATAAGAATGCCTGCTTCTGTTAAAATACAGGCTATATTATTTTGATTATTAGATTATTTTGAACTTTCTTGAACTTTTTTTTTTTAACTTTTCAATTATAAGAAATAACAGTTAAAATAATTACAATAAACAAAGTTTTATGCAAAGTAACACACACTTGACATAGTTACCTTCATAAACCCAGTCTGGTATTCCATTGAAAATTTTATTTTCTTCTCCATTTTGAGTGATTTGCACAGATTCTGCTGTCGGTGAAGGTTTTATATAAACATTATTATTCCAAACATACGCCTGCAAAACATCATTGTGTTTACAATTACTACTAGAGTAAATCCTACTTCCTTCCTTTGCTTCTTCTACTGAGAAATTCACATGACATGATAAAGATTGTCTTTGAAAGCTGTGTTTCACCAAACATCACTGACGCGTAACAATCTTGAATTACTAATACAAATCATGTGTAGCAACCTAACTTCAGGCCTAGGTACAAAAACAATTAACTATGATAAATGACACTATTACCACATCAAGTTTTGAAAACCTCACTACTTCTTTTCCACTGAGGTACAAGCTTATTTTCCTTCATTACGAGTTGTTTTTCACTCATTTGTCTTTCAAAGAAAACTATTGGTACTTTGGTAAAACATTGCAAAGATGGTGCATTTCTTCACTACCACTCAGAACTCTATTTTTTGGCACCTGCCTGACTCTCTCATCATCCCTATTTTTTCTCTCCAACAAATGAACAGTACAGTTTTGTTCCAGAGCTTCACTGTGAGATGCAAAAAGCTCTTTTCGACATCCTTCGCGTGTATGGTTGGGCTTTGTAATTCCTATACTAAGAGCAATAAGAATACATAAACACCACATGCTCCTGTGATAGCTCTTTATTCAGATCCAATGCTCACCCATAACCCTGCAAACACAGTGGCTGTCACCATTATCATGGACTGGGAGGAGAGGAGGGAAAAAAAAACACCCAAAAAACAAACAGCACAGTGGGAAAAAGTACGAGAGAGATTTTGATACTCTAATCCCTGTTAAATGCAGCCATCAAGTAAAACTTCATTGATTATGATGTCATTAGGAGATAAAAATCACAGTGATGAGTAAGAAGACAATTGTAATGCTGCTTCTTTGAAATGGATGAGCTACTGTCTGTAATTGTAAAAACATGAAGGTCCTGTCTGTGCATTTGTGCATTTCATGGCTACTGGGGCCACTACTAATTTCAGGAATGCATTTTCATTAAAGAACAAAACAAAACACACAGAGGGATTTTGGAGTCTTTCCAGCAACAGTAGTTGATTTGGAAACTAGTTCAGCTACTTTATCCAGCAGTAGGAAATTCCCGAAACCTCAAGGGTGCAGACAATGTGAGCTTCCATGTGAGTGTACAAAGCCAGCTGTTTATGTAAGTTTCACTTATCTTTACTAACCAGTTTATGACCAACAGGTGACCAGGTTATATATTGTGTATCATTAGGTAGTAGTCCATCATCTAAGATAGAACTGTAAAAACAAAACCAAAATGCAGCAAAGAGAAATCAGTGAAATGTCATTTCATTGAAAAATAATGGTAAAAACTTTCTCTCGTGCATAAAATTACTGACCTGCTATTGAAATCATAGATGTGATATGAAGCTGTATAGGAATGTCTCCACAACTGCACAGGAAAAAAAAAAATAAATTAAGAAAATCAATTTCACCAGATTCACATCCCTTACAGTTTGAATACCTCTGAAACCTTCCTCATGGTTTTGCTTAAGACAGACAGACCCCAATGAACGTACAAGGGTAACAAATCCCTGTAAGGTTTAAGAAAAGACTAAATAATTGCCACCCCCCTGGGTTCATCACTTAAATACTATGATAGAGGCCACTGACTGATTAAGGACAGAGATACAGAGGCCCGAGATGCTGCAGATTTTTAGAAATCCTTGTAGTTACATGGCAGACTATTGTAGCTATGCACAGTTAATCCTCCTCCTTCTGCCTTACTGGCGCGCTTGCTGTTTTCTGTCTCATTTTCCATGCTGTTTTATTTAACTTGGCATCTTATTACTCAGTAGTCCTCACAAGTCCCAGCAGTATTTCTGCAGCAGTTCCTCCAGTTCCAGGGTGACCTATTCCCATTCATACTGTCACAGAAATAAACTCTTCCTCTCAAAAACCTGACTCTCAAAGTCGCTATCACTCTGTGGGCACTTACAGAGAGAAAGATGATGATGACACTGCAGATGTTCAAATGTACTCACTATGTGGGGCTGAAGAGATTTGATTTAGCCCATGGTGTTGACATGTTACAATAATGCTACCCTTCTATGATGGTTCTGGAAGATTTGTATGAAGATATAAAACAATAACTTAGTACTACACAACCAGATGGCTATTACATAAGAAGTGTCTACATCCTCATGATTCATTTTGTTACTGTTTTCCTGCAGTAAAGATTAATAGCTTTTAATCACACTATTACATAAAGGTTAAAAGATCTTGCTTCAGCATTAAAATAAAATTAACTCTTATGACTGCAACAAATAAAATACTGCAAAGCAATAAATCACGAGCAGAGGGTATGTCTAGGGTGGCTGGAAACGTATAAACCATTTTCTGTCCACTAATGATGCAGTGAAAAGCCAGACAATTCTTAACAATTTGGAAAGACAACAGGTAACTGGCTTAAGATTACCTAGCAAGGAAGGAAACTGAAAAAAAGTGATGTCTGAGTGCATGGATTCTGGGTGGCACAAGTGTGAAAGACATTCTGGGGACTACAAAGCTAGAACACGTAGATAGAGCTCGGTGACACTGTGCTTGAGCATTTGTACACTGCATAAGTCAGCACTAAGCTTTCTGCAAACAAACCAGGCAGCTGTCTATCAACAAAAAAACAAAAAAACAAAAAAAAAAAAAACCAAAAAAACCAACAAAGTTAAGTTACTGGCTTCCCAGTGCACACACTGCAATATCTCCATTAGTTTTCTGTAACTACCCTCATATGGCACGAAGAACCAGGTTTTCATGCCACCTCACGTAAACATAGGCTGACCTTTGTTGAATGGTTAACCACCATGTCTGGATGAGGCATTATGCTGGAGGTTTTTCATGTGCTTGCTGACATTAGGGATCAAGGATACCCAAGTCCATTCCAAGCATAAGAGAACAGCATTCTCTTGTAAGCACATGCTGCTTTTCATTCACCTCAGTTTTTAAGTTCTTATGTCCTAACACCACAACATAAGCATATGTATACAGCATATATGTACAACCGTGTGTATACAATCATATTTACTCATCACTTCTCCTTACCCACACAACTCCTTGGACAGTGATGCCCATCTACTCTTCTAGCCTGTCTTCCCAGGTGAACTGTCCAGCCTCACTCTCCTTGTGATACCTCTCCATCCACTTTTTACCCAGCTTATTTTCCTCGGCAGTCATAAGTCTTCTGCCAAGCTCACAGATAATACCCGTCTCTCTTCTCCTCCTTCTGCCTGCTCAACTTCACTGTTCCTCTGCAGACATCCATCTCATTCATCCACCCCCTGCTTTCCCTTGAATTCTTCCAAGCCTCTCAGTTGTTCCCAAACCTTTATTTCCCAGTTTCATGCTCAGAAGTGCCCTCATACCTTTGTAGAGCTGTACTGCAGAAGAGCAAACTTTTGGTCAGGCGACAATATAACTGTGGTCGCCTTGTATTTATCCTGTCAACAAAGGGCAAAAGGAACACATTAAGCATTGATTCCAAAGAAATGCACAGAATAAAATATTAAACTCAATACCTTTCCCAATGTCTGCATATATTATATATAACCAACATACTAATGTTGTATTCGCCAAGATTACTGAGGATGTTCCGCTGTCAGCGTTGACAAGTAGGATGTCCCCATTAGTTGCTTTGTGAAGATACTGATGTCCTAGAAGAACAAGAGAGTTGCTAATAAACAGTAATAAAATGCTGATCAGTTACTTCTCTCTTTCCCGTAAATTTTTTAGTGGGAAATAAAATTAAGAAATCTGGTCAATGCCGTGTTTCCCACTTCTGTAATGAAAGGATGCTTATAGTACAATAACGTTCACAGAATGTAGGCCTGGGGCTCACAGCCTCCGTGCTTTCTGGCATCTCTTTTCCTTGGAGCACTAGGCATATTCAAAAGGAAAAGCACCCTGTATCCTCCTGTTCCCTGATAGCCTAACGCACAAGGAAGCTGACACACTTCAGAAGATAACATGCTTCCCCAAAAACGCATACATGTAAGTATGCTTTTTTAATAGCATTTTATTAGGAGAATATAGCTTGCCATGAACACAAACAGCTATCTAAGGCGGGGAAAAAAATCAAAACCCTTTGAGACATGCACCTTTCTGTAATGGCACCATTAAATAACATACCTTATCTTTTCAGGATACAGAATTAACCTTAGCATGAAAATGTATGTTTACTGAAGGTAGTACATTCTCTTGATATTCATGCTCTACGTGGAAATGAATTACCTGAAATCCACTGCAAATCATACGTTCTGTAGTTATAGTCATTGTTCAAGTAATTATGCAGAGTGTATGTTCTTCGTGAATCAGGCTCAGTGGTACTATCTGAAAGAGACAAGAAATTTTAATGTTGCTGCAACTTGTTCTACCCCAGTTTCTTAACCTGACTACTAAAATAAGTGGGCTTTTGTTACTGGTTACTGATGTTTTTTAGCTAACCAGCTCCAAAGTACTAGCAGTGAGAAGGCACTAAAGCCTTACTGCAAGATAAATTCAGCAAGCATAAAATAAAGAAGTATCGGTGAGATCCCTCAACAAACTCATGTGAAAATGAAAATACCTTTTTGACAGTGACAAAAATAAACAGAAGACCTCTGGCCCTCGTATCTCAAAAAACACATACTTGTACACCTCAAAAATTGAAAAGAAGTGATCTTAGTGTCTTTCCCTTCTATGCTCACACTGAGAACTTCGCTGAAGAGCCCTGACTGCTAGTATTTGCATTAGACATCAATTGCATGGTTGGTCATGCACAGCAGAGATGTACATGCTCATGTTTGAGACTGGCGGATGGGCAAGGTTGTCCAGATGAATGAAGTGGGTCATCCACGTGAATAGATGTATAGACCTTGAAAGATACCCTAAAATTAAAGCGGCTGATGCATTTTATCACATATTCTGTAATACTGCTGTTCCTGCTCATGAACCTTTCAGTCATGAATCATCTGCTTATCATTAAACTCAAATTTCAGAAATGTCTCAAGTAAAAAAATCTGAGGAGCAGTAAAGTTTTCAGGGATTCAAGGTCTAATTGAAAAAAAAAAAGAAAAAAAAAGAAAATTAAAGCACAAACTCCTACTGATAAGCTTATGATGAATTAACTGGTTAAATATATATCCCTCTCGCTGTTCTTCACCAAGGTATCTTAATGTTTACTGCAACATTAATATTTTGGCTGCAAAATTAAAGCCGAGTTAACTGGGTTACTATGAAAAGATTAAGTGAGACTTTAAATCCAGTTAATGAGTTTGGCAATCAGCTCCAGCACACTGCAGTCAACTTCTCTGAAAAGTATTTCTTTCTTACTAGCTGCAGCGCACAAGCTATTCTTTCCAAAGTAGTATAATAATAGTTTTTTGAGTATTTGTGATTTTTTCCTCTGAAAACAAAGAGTTAAATTTTTAAATTCAGGTGTGCAGTTCTCTCCATGCTATCTCCCCTGCCCATTTTTAAAAACTACCCTCACACCAATCTACACAGTACAGAAGGGAAGCAATTTTTATTTCAACCAGCTACATCATTCCTTTTTTGTTACTACCAGTATAAATCAAAAGACTTAGGATAAAAATACTCAAGTACAGACATGGTGACTGATCAACCAAGATAATAACCTGCCCCTATCAGTTCTAAGAGCCCCAGTCTTTCAGATACTTTTAAACAGACAATCTCTTCTTTCACTATGATGAGGAAGAAAAGTCCTTGGGGACGCACACAAAGAAAAGCATCTTACAGTAATGTTTACAGGTTCTTCTTCTGCAGGTTAAGTGTATGTGACATCTGGAACGCAGCAGGAAGATATTAGCTTTTGCAGTTCTACTCTGATTTCCAAAAAATAAGCACATTGTACAGCAGAGACTGTACAGCCATTGCTGCAATAGAAGTTAAGAGCCATAAGAAATAATGATTTTAGTCTAAGATGCCCAGCAAAGGTTTAAAGAATTGCTTGCTCAATTCAATCTGAAATTTGACTGTTCTAAAAATTTACTAGTCTAGATTTCATGTTCCTGAAGTTTCCGTGAGAATATTAATTCCTCAGGTTAATTATTCTATATTAACTGCATATTTTATTTGATGATTATGAACAAGTATGTATTTGATATTCACACACAGTTGTCTAGTTGGGAATATCACTTCTTCCTAATTGAGTGTCATTTTCAATTAGAGGGGCTTCTGAAAGCAACAAAATTCTCTCTTGGAAAAGGAGGAGCAATTAAGACAGGTGGCTGATGAACAGGTTTAGGGATTTTTCCAAACTGATGAATGTTTTCCCCCCTGGTGACATACATATTTTGCTGAGGTCTCATTACTAAAAATCAGGACACTATTAAGATTTGTTGGCTGTGTATAAAATTAAAATTTCATTTTCTGTCAACACCTTCCACATAGTAACTGAATATGAAAACATACGCCAAGCTGTAAGGGTATACTCATAAAAGTTCTAGTTGAAATATTTTCTTAATTTGCAAGATAGGCCACTACCAGTATATTCTTACTTAACCACATTATGCTACCAACTGAAGATATTCAGCATACATTGAATTCTGCATTTTGTTACTTCTTGTTCAGATTCCATTTGAAAAAAAGTGTTAAACAGGTTTATTTTGACAAAATAAAGTGGTTGTTGACATTCAAGAGCATTTTATTGGCTTTGAAGATTGGATACAGGTCAATGTATGTTCCTATTTTAGTAAAACAGCTTCTTTCACTCTTAGGTTCCTGGGAGAGGCTGTGAAGGCTGAATTTTCTTACTATTTTCACTATTCCAGATACAGACTTATTTTTCTAAATTCCAAATGACTAGCTCTTCATCTCTATCCCAGCAGCAGATACATACTTCCGATGTCACAATGATATACTGGAAATATTTAAATCCCTACACCCCTGTTACAACAGCAAAAACTTAACTAAGTCCTTCTGGGAAGAAGGCTCTTAGCCTTTTATGTAAATAGTACTCATTTAAGGTTGATAATTTAGTTTCCATTTTGGATTATTTTTTTAAAATGTCACCCTTTCTGAAGAGGAAAACTGAGTCGGTTTCTGTAGGTATAAGGTGCAAAGCAAGCCAAGAAGTTAACTATTGTGTAATATTAATTATATGACGTATCACCATACCAAAATCTAAAGTTCTTGACAAATTACTTTTGGTATACATATTGCTTAATCCCCAGTATCAAGGCACATTTTACTAATTTCCATATGTAATAAGAAAAGAGTAAGAAATTACATAGCTAATTTCTAAAAGGGGGAAAACTATAAACCCAGTAACAACAGAAGCCTTATTACATGGTCACTGCTACCAAGAAAGTCTGGATAAACCACAAGGAAAAGACAAGTATAAGCATGATGCTCAGCAATAACAAGATAAAAAGGGGTAGAGAAATGATAAAAATCAGAAAAGGTGAATGAGTATTGCGGTTTTAAAGTGACAGCAGAACAAGACCGCTATGTAAGAATGTATATAAGAATGTATGTATAAGACTGCTAGATAAGAATGTAATTCAGGAGCAGTGTGAGAAATGCAAGAAGGGAAACCTGACTGATTCAGGAGTTAGTCAGAAAAGTAAGTGACATTTCAGGCTATTTTTTTACAAACCTTCCTTCCTCCCTGTTTCTCTTCCAATGTGTGTAAAAAAAGCACTCAAAAAAACCTGTAAAACTGTAAAAAAAAAAAAAAAAAAAAAACCACAAAAACCCCTCCCCCTTACACTCAAGCCCCCTGAGATATGTGACAATTACAACACAGAAAAGGAATTCCAGCAAAGAAAGTAAGAATGACTCTCCCAAGGTTCACTTAACCCAGATTCACATCTAAACCCAGTGGCTTGTATTGGACAACCCAGGAGATACCATAATTAAGGGGCAAGTGCCATGACCCCTCCTGGAGCAGTTCACACAGACATCACGTTCTGGAGCTGCAGAGACTTCCCCAGGGAGGTAATCATTAACTTTGAAACCAATAGCTCTGGAGTCCCTCTCAAATTTTCCCCACTTCACGCAAAGCAAGGAAATAAAAATAGCCGAAGTGTTCTATAGATAGCAATCCACTGCTGATAGATATTTTTTAACATTACATCACTCAACATTGGAATTAAGACACATATCAGAATTAAATGACAGTTACAGAAGTCATGGATGTACAGCAGGAAAATATTTCCATTCTCTGTCTTTTCCTTCACTAGCTAGAAGAGTAATGTATCTACAAATAACATGACGACTACAAGAAACCTGTAATGCAGAGCAAGATACACGAATAGATAGGACGAAGAGCATAGTCAAAACAGATTCAAGCCAAAAGACTGTTTGGTCAGACAAATCTATGGCATACGTACAAGATAATTAACCTGCTATATCCCCCATACAACATTTGAGAGAATTTCAGCCATAATTTTGATTAAAGTCCTTTGGGGGGGAAAAAAAAAAAAAAAAAAAAACCAGAATGGAAAACCAACATCCAAACCCCAAAATCCCACACCGAGTCAAGATTCTTCTAACCAATCTATGATCCACAGATTCAAATTCCTTTACAGAGTTTCTAGCTTAAAACACCTTTAACCTAATGACTTTCAGAAACTGAAATAATACAGGACCCGTTTATCCCCAAGAAAACTGGGACAGATCACAGCTGCCAGATTCATTCATCCTGTGCACAAGTCTTCAAACACAGGGATTGTATATCACCCAGAAACCTCTATTTTAAACATACTGCTCAGTTGCAAGCAGGGTGTTGACACTGGCAAGAAATACTCCTCCACACCACCCAGTCACAAATTTGCTTAGTTCAAGGCAGAATGCAGATAGGGTAAGCCAGGGAAGCCCGTAGATATGACCATCCTCAACAGAACAATGATGAGAGCTAGCTACAGACTTTTTTTCTTTTCAGTTAGACATTAACACAGCTGTGAGGAAATCTGCAACCTCACATACGTGGGTCCTTGAAGCACAAAGCTGTCTCAGCACTCCCAACATTCTTCATCTGCAAATCCAGGATGACAACGTGAACTTACTGGACTTCACCCCTCTCTACTTATGGTAGCTTTCTACTAGCCACTAGTAATACCCAACACATCAATTAGGCATCAGGCTTACAAAGTACCCTCAGACACCTTAGGGGCATTAACTTCCACAGCACCTGCTGTGCTTTTCCAACCTCTTCACACCACAGAAGCCCAAGCATAGTATCATCTAATTATGACAGCAATCCTTCTCATTTAGTGAATATCTCACCCTTGGAGAATCAGACCTGTAGATGAAGGAACCTGTTTTATGACCAGACCACTGTATAGGACCCCCCCACTATGAGGCTGTTGATGACTTGCTCATGGCAG